TTTCAAGACGATGCCGCAGGAATTTGGCCGGAGGGGATGTTGTTGTTTGGCCTAGAAGGAAGGGGGAAGGGGTTTGGTGAGAAGTGGGATGATTGATGTCCACGGTGAGGAGGAAGATAGACTATACCCATGCGTGAGTGCTGATCTTTTTTGAGGAGGATGGAAAGGATGTCCAGACAGCCATTACTCATAAGATGACGGACCTGGCTACCTATCTGGCGCGATTCTTGGGAATATGAAGGCTGGCTGGGGGCTGGGAAAGACTTCTTGCCTTTATTTTTCTTAAAACAGAAGTGGAAACATGTTCATTCATCTCTCCCCTGGATGATTGATGATGCTCGTGAGGCTCTCAAAATACGGAGGATAATGATCTCCAGCCGTCAATTGAGGGGGACACGCAGGGGCTGATTCAGACACTGTTCTCCCCTACCAGTGCTTTCGACTGGGTCGGGACTGCTTGGGCGAAACTGTTCCACGAGTATGGGGTATTGCGATTGTACTGATCCGAGGACTGGGTCTTGATTGGGGTTGTTTAATCAATCAATTGACCACGCGTGGTTGATCCGAAGGATTCTACGAGGAGTTATTTACATGCTGCTGCTGCTGCTGCTGCCACCAACTATCTTGTTCGCGCAGGCGGAGGAGAGGGGGAATCTGCCCATGTTGACGGAGATGTCTGTTGTAAATGGAGTGCTTCTCGAACCGCGAGAAGATGGTCCGGGACGCCAAAGCTCCTAGCGCTATTGAATTGGAAGTCGACGGACAGCGCTATACCTACCGTTCAAGCCAAGAAAGAAGGAAAGAAAGAAATCATCCTCTCTCTCGGATGACTGACTGACCTCCAAAAAACACCACAGATCCTCGAACTCTCCGGCATCTGACGTCTGGAAGTCTGACAGAGGAACGGTATTCCACGTGCTCGTCCCTAACTACAATAATGTAGGCGAACGAAACCAATCCAAGACCATCCCATCTGCGCTCGCGCCTACGCTGTTAACGATGATGGGTGCTTACGTTGTCGCGATTCGTCCTCCAAGTCGGGGTCCCCTTGTGCCGGTGGAAAAGGGGGGGGGGGGGAAATGCCGCATGCCTCTGCTTATTAGAGATCTGGAAGCGGCGAAGAGGCATGTTGAGGAAGATCTACGGTTCGGAGTATCACCGACGGCGATGTGACCGCAGAACGAAGAAAGGAAGAGGGCGGAGAGGGGCGTGGTCGATTCTCGACTCCGAGAGTATATGGAACGAAGAAAGCTTCGGGGTTGTGGATGCTCCTTCCATCGTTCCGCTGGATCTGCAGGGGAATATTGTCAGTTTGGTATAACGCTGTGTGGCGGGGAAAGGCGGCGGAGATGATTCAGGGAGGATCATGGGAATGGTGGGGATGGGAATCAGGAGTAGATCGATTCGAATTTTCTTCCGGTTTTCTTTCTATGTAGTATATCTAAAGCTCTTATCCTGTCTATCGGTAAGATCGGCACCGGGAGGGAAAGGGAGCGTCGTCCCTTGCCTCTGTTCTTCGCGGTCACGCTTCGTGTTCTCCCGCCAGCAGAGCCACGCATACCACGGGATGAAGACGTAGACCAGAGCCCAATCGACGAGGGCGCAGATGACGCCGGCGGAGTACCGGGGAGGTTCGGTCCACAGCTGGGGCGCCGCGATGCAGCCCGTCGCGTAGCCGACGAAGAAAGCGGCGTTGACGAAGGCCTTTTTCGTGTTGCCGCGCACGTTGCTGGCGGAGAGGGACATGAGGATGCTGAACTGCGAGCTGATGACGGAGGCGAGCCAGGAGGCTACGATCATGCCCCAGCCGGCGGAGAGCGGCAGGACGGTGAGGAGGATGCAGCCGACTAGAGGCACTGGATTGTTCTTCTATCAGCAGAGATAAACATACCTGCAAGTATTCGAACACATACCGATACAGAGAAGCAGGACGATGAGGCTGCGACTGTTGGGGAAGAACCAACAAGCCGCCACGCCGACCCAGATGAAGGCAATCTGCACTGCTCCGGAGGGTGATCCGTAGAGTAGTGTTTCCGAAGAAGTGTAGCCGAGATTCTTAATCACCAACGAGGCGAACGTCAGCACCGGAGAGCACATGGTGACCAAGAGCCCAAACATGAAGACATGGAACGTCTTCAGATCCAGACAGGCTTCCTTGAACTGCGCGAGGGAAAACGAAGTCTTGTCGCCGCCGTCATGCTGCGAAGCCAGACGTCCTGCCGCGATGATCCTCTCCTCGGCGGTCAGGAACCACGCCTCGTCCGGCCTGGCAGGCATGGCGATGTAGAACAAGATGCCCGCCAAGACCGTGGCCGCGCCGCAGATGAGGAACATCAACCTCCACGGCTCGATCGACAGATGCGCCAGGTTCTCCCCGATGCCGTACATCATCAGACTCCCCGCGATCTGCGCCAGCCCGTTACACGTCACCCACATGCCCACCCGCAGCGGGTGTTCCTCTTTCTTGTACCAGAGGGACGTGATGGTGATGAAGGCCGGACTCACGGCGCCCTCGGTGAAGCCCAGCAGACAGCGAACGGCGGCGAATCCGGCGAAATCCCGCGGAGCGGCGAGACACATGCACACGATGCCCCAGAGGATGATGGTGCCGCCGACGAATTTGGCAATGGGCAGGCGGCTCATGAGGTAGATGAACGGCCCTTCCGACGCGAGCTGGGAGAGGTAGAAGCAGCTCGTCAGCCAGGAATATTGGCTGTTGGTGAGGTGAAGATCCGTCAGGAGGCCGTAGACGGAAGCGTACGAGAGGGATTGCTTGTCGAGGTATTGCGTGAAGAAGACCAAGCACATCTTTTCTCCCCGACCGAGTGTGTCTCCGTGTCAGCTTTCTCTCTCGAATCTTTCGAACGAACGGAAGGGAAATTCCAATATACCATGGGAAGCACAACCATATCAATCTTCCACCTCACGCGCCTTTCATCCTCGGGCTTGCTCTCATATACATGGGCATCGCCACTCCCAACATCAAAACGCGGATGAAAATCCTCCGCCGGCGTCTTCTCTTCGACGTCCATCTTTCGACAAGGTAGCAAGCAAAGAGAGCCGAAGCCTAGCCTACCGGGAAAGAATGAAGGGAAAGTTGCACTGGGTCATCATCATTCGGAGTTGTTCCGCCTTTTTGCTCATCTCATCACATCACATCTCGTCCTGCTACCTTCTAGATGACGGCAGATTATGGTCTGCTGCAATACCCAGATAGGGCAACGCGCACCAGAAAGATAGCAGAGCGGAAGACGCATCGGCGTACGACTTCACCTCGGCCGAGATAGTTCGAACATATCTGTGGGGCCACCAGACGCTTCAAGAAGAGTGTACAGATACCAAACATTGGCGTCAAAGCACAAAGGTTGCCGAAACGAGAAGAAGTGTGGAAGGAGAAAAGAAGTCAAAGTCTCTCACATCGGCCCAAAGCGAGGAAAGGAAAGGAAAGGGAAAACGCCAAGCCCCCGCCGCCGCCGCCAGCACTACTTAAGGTAGCAAGCAAGCAAGCCAGCATGACCGCAGCCGAAACGTCCGACCAACAAACCTCCGACCTCGAACACGGTCTGGACATTTCCCTTTCCGGGGTCAACATCAACCTCGACGACAGGATGGCTTCGACCTTAGCGGCATTGAAACCCTGGACGGCCGTGCCGCGGAAGCGGTATCGACTGGTGGATGCGACGTTGATTGATCCCAAGGTGAGTTGGAGAGAGAAGAGGAAAGAGGAAGAGGAAGAGATAAATTTGGGGCGGGTTTCTGGATCTTGATTTTCCGTTCTGATATCTAGAGCCGAAAATGAGCAAGCATTGGATTCAGAGTTTGTGAGACTCTCCAATGCAATGCATGCTGACAGACAATAACACCGCTCTATGACGGGGGAAAAATTACAAAATGCCTCGCCTCATATCCTATGACATTACAACATCCGCTAACCTACAGCCCCAATAACAGGACGGCAGCATCCACACCCACGTGACAATAGACCTCCACGACGGCCTCATCCACCGCATGACCAAACTCTCCTCCCAACCCTCCCCGGGCGACGAAGTCCTCTCCTGGACGCAGAATTCCGAAATCGCAATCCTCAATCTACAGGGCAAATTCGTCATCCCGGGCCTCATCGATTGCCACGTTCACCTCGGGACGCCGCCCGGCGAAGACGGTCTGAAGGATACCATGAACCAAGATCCGGAGACCGCGCTGCTGCGACAACCCTTCCTGGCCCATCAGATTCTCAAGCGCGGATTCACGACGATACGGGATTGTGGCGGTGCCGGGCTCGCCATCAAGGAGGCGCTGAATGAGGGCCTGTTTCCCGGCCCGCGCCTCTTTACTGCCGGACGCGCGATTTCGCAGACGGGCGGGCATGGCGATATGCGCTCGCACAAGGAGGCAGAATATGCGTGCTGTGGCGGCAACGTGCGCGGATTGGGCAGGATCGCGGACGGGGTGGAGCAGTGCCTACACGCCGCGCGCGAGGAACTCCGGCAGGGCGCCGATTTCATCAAGATCATGGTTTCCGGAGGAGTTGCCTCTCCCACTGACAAGCTGACCAATCTACAATACACGCCCGAGGAGATTCGCGCCTTCTCCAAGGTGGCGAGCGACTCTGGCACCTGGGTGACGGCACATGCATACACACCCGCGGCCATTCAAAACGCCGTCTCCAACGGTGTCATGGGCATCGAGCATGGGAATTTGATCGATGAGCCCACGGCCAAGCTAATGGCGGAGAGGGGCGCCTTCTTGACACCGACGCTGGTCACCTACCATACGATGGCGTCCAGAGAGTTTGGCAATTTCCTGCCACCATCGATTGCGGCCAAGAATCTGCAAGTTCTGGACGCCGGATTCCGCAGCATTCAAATCGCGGACCAAGCTGGTGTAACCATGTGCTACGGCACAGACCTGTTGGGCCCGCTGCAAGTCAAGCAGACTGGCGAGTTCACCCTCCGAAAACAGGCCGGCCTCAGTGCATTGAAGGTTCTGCAGAGCGCGACGATCAACGCGGCGCGGATGATGCGGCAAGACGAGAAGCTCGGTCGGATCAAAGAGGGCTTTGCGGCGGATCTTCTGATCCTCAACGCGAACCCCCTGGACGACATACAGGTGCTAGATCGGCCGGAAAGGCATCTTTTGGCTGTGATCAAGGACGGCAGAGTCCTGCACAGTCGTTGGTCCAAGTTACCACCAGAGAGCGATCAGTTGCCCGTGCTCGAGTAGTTCAGGGAGAGAAGGGCGCGACCGGATCGACATTGATATCCAGATGGTCCAAATCCCAAATGGCATATCCTTTTGCGGCCTCGAGACCACGCATAGTCACTTCGCGACGCCGTACAATGGTGCCATCTTGCTGAACATCCTCCATCATTCTTCCAACCCTGTAGACGACGTCTCCCATCCCCAGAAGTTCAAATTTGGCGCGGGGATCGTTTGCTAGAGTGATGCCGAGGTGATTCATTCGCTCTTCATGAGAGACATGCCGGAAGTGTTCAGCTAGATGCTCGTTAGGTAGAACGCGCAGAGCTCGCAGGTTCTTGAGGAAGGGCATCAGGAGGACCAGCCAGTCATGGGTCGAAGTGTTCACTGCCAAGCCCAGCTGCTCTAGTTGAGGACAGTCGCGAGCGATCAGGTGGACGTCGTCTCTGGTGAGGGGCCATTGATCCGAGAGTAGCAAATGCTTGATGCCTTCGCCGTGGACCTTTGTGACGGTGGCGAGGAAGTCGTCCTTTAGGTTCGCCAAGCTTGGGTCGATCCAAGAATCCGTATCGTCGGATAAGTCGGTGTTTGGGGTTGGCTCGCTGTTGTCGGGAGGGGTAAAGCCGGTCTTGCCGCGTCGCTCGTTCACGATGTAGTACTTCTCCACCGAGACTTTGGAGTTTCGCATGATGAGGAGATGCTGCGGCGCGAGCTCATTGATGCGGACCCGCTTGAACTTGGTGAATAGATCCATGGGCACCCCTTTCCACGTCTCGTCGATGAAGATGGTCTTGGGATTATTGTTGCCGAAGGTGTCGAGAAAGGTGACGCTTTCGCAAGTGTCAATATCGAAGACATGCTCCATGCCCAAGACGTTGGGACCGAAGAAGTTGTGGAGGCCGAAGTGTTTGACTTTCATTTTGTAATTTGCTTTGTGGCAGCGTCCGAAGAACATGTTGAGATTCATGATGGATTCCGCCTCGGCGCGCATGCGGGGAGAGAAATGCAGTCGGACGTCCTCCAACTTCTTCGAGCCGAGCATGAGCATACTGATGTCGTCCGGGTAGCACATGGGATCGATATCGAGGGCCTTGAAGACTCGCAGGTTGACCATGGGCGGAATCAAGACCGCAGGGCGTGGGACTCTGGTGGAGGGAAACCTCAGGGTGAAGGCTGTGAGGTTGCTGTGGGTGGCCAATCCTTGGTACAGCGTCTTGAGGGGCTTGCAGTCGAGTTCCCAGCAAAAGGACTCGAGTCGCGTCATCTTGTCCGTCGCCGCTCGCAAGATGATGTTCAGCATCATGGAATTGTCCGGCACTCTCCCCTTGGCAAAGTCTTCGATGCCCAACTCGTTCCAACAGCCCCAAATGCGCAGATGTCTCACGAGCGCCGCGTGTGCCTTGGTAGCCAGGCCATCCAGGGCCATCATGAACGGGCTGCCACTGCCGAAGCCCTCTGGCCTCCCGTTGATGTAGCGCATGGTCGCGTAGGAATGGAGATTGACATGTTCGTAGAGGCGCGGCAGGGTCATGTAGTACAGCAGACGGGAGGTGCGCGTGACTCGGGCGATGTCTCCAATGTCGGCGAGGTAGGAGATGATGTGGGCGACGAGATTGAGTGGGAGGGCAGCGGATCTGCGCGCGACATCCTGAGGCGCGAGTGCGGGCACGGGGGAGGTGTACTGGACGTATCGAGGCACGCCGTGGAAGGCCGAGGGCGCGACGGGGCCCATATGAGCGTTGGAGACGGAATTGCACCTGGACTTGGAGGAGACGTTGTCCGTGGCGCCGGAGCTGGCGCTGTGCTTGCGCTTGCCCAGCATCCTGGGGCGGCTCATGTGACCGTCAGTCTGGCAGTGACCGTGACCGTGACCGTGACCGTGACCGTGACCGTGACCGTGACCGTGACCGTGACAGAGCGAGAGGAAGAGAGGCGGAGGAGGAGTGAGGGAGGGAGAGAAGAGGTAGAAGAGATGGTGCCATGCTGCTGCTGCTGTGCTGCTACTGTATCAGGACGTCTCCAGCATCATGACCTCGAGGTCCGGTCCGGTCTGGCATTCCTGACCAGGTACAGTAGTATACTCAGCTCTTGACCAGCCCAAGTGCTTCCGCGGACCCCAGCAACCCGGCCGGACCCCAGTTACTTTTCGTAGATAATGCTTACCCCCACCTGTTTTGTATATGAATATGCATTGCCTTTGAAATCTGCGCGGGCAGGGCTCTTACCGCCTACCGACTATAGTATATCGCTATCGCTACCTTATTAAAGGATAGTTCCTCTATAGAGATACTAATTATATATAAAATTAGCTAACGAGACTATATAAAGAGAGACTAATTCCCTATAGAACGGTAGATTACTACTATCTATCGAAGCCTAGGTACCGAAAGATATTCTAGTACGGTCTACTACCTCTTTTTACCGCTTCGTATAGCTCTACTATCGTAGATTACCTATATTACTATACTTAGTATAGTAGTTATTATCTTATAGTGTTCTACGGACTACCTACTACTACTACTACTACTACTACTACTACTACTACTACTACTACTACTACTACTACTACTACTACTACTACTACTACTACTACTACTACTACTACTACTAGTAAGTAAATAACTAGTATTAATACTATAGTAGCTATATACGTAGTATTAATAGCGAGCTCTACGATAGTAGAAACCGCTAGTACTAGCTCTACTATAGTACGTACTAGCTAAACTATAGTACGTACTAAGCCTATAGGTAAATAAATAGAGGCCGTTACTACTACTTAGTAATACGCGCTTACTAAGTAAGTAGTAGTTACTAATTATAGTATTACTATGCCTCCTTACGTTACTTTAGCTCTATTAGCTCCTTCTATATTAGCTTAAGCTCGCTCGGTAGTACTTATAAAGGGCCGGTAACTACCGCTATAGGTATAGTAGTAAGTAAATCTTTAGCTAAGTTAAGATAGGTAAAAGCCTAGTTATAATAGGCCTTACTATATAAACGATTAGCTACTCGGTAAGGGTACTACTACGTCTTATACTAGCTAGTCTTATAGTTATAGTACTTTACGCTATTTAGCGTCGCCTTATAACGTAGCTAAGTAAGTAACTACGTTAGAACTAGCGTAAAGGCGTACGACTAAGGGTACTCTTTTCGCCGCTTCTTTACTACTACTAAGGCGCCTTTTTCGGTATTATTTAGGTCGTCTAATTCGCGTACTATAAAGCCTCTTTTAGTAGAGCCTATAGCGCTAGGCGTAGCTAGTTATTTACCGAGCTTTGTCTATAGCTCTCGTAGTTTGTTTATAAGTATACTAGCTAAGAACTAAGCCTTAGTATTAAAGTTAATCTAGTAGTGTTTATCGAAGAAGTTCGGTAGTAATATAGGCCTACTTAATTACTCTAGAAGCCGTATTATCTCGTAAAGACAAGGCCTACTATTTACCTTACGTATATAGCTAGTATACTAGTACTTCTTATATAAAGTAGAGTACTAGAATCCGCTATACTATACCTCGTTACCGTTATTATCGACTACTAGTTTAAGAAGTACCCTCGCTTACTATATAAGCTTATATACCTCGAGTAGCTATCGTTAAGTAATCGTACGTATTATAGAGGCCTAGAACGGTCCGGATAGCCGTTTGTCGTACTTATATATCTTACGGCCTAAATCCTCTTCGTACTTATTATAGCCGTACCTCTACTAATTTAGTAAGGCTTCGAAGAGGCTATAGATATTAGAGCGACTACTACTATTAAGCTACTAAAGGCCGTAAGTAAGAGTAAGTAAAGGATAGGTATATAGTAGATTTACCTAGCTTTTAATACGTACGTACGTAGCCTTAATACGTAAGGTATATAGCTTACCTATATATATAACTTTATTCGCCTATACGTCTATAAAGCGCTCCTTATACCTCTACTAATTATTACGTAGATAGCGCTTAAATTATAGGTAGACGCTATCTAAATCTAGGGCGTTTTACTCGAAGGTATTAGGTGTTAGTAAATAGACCGTTTACTACTAACACTTTATAAATG